CGGAGGCCTGGCAGACCACACTCTCCCCAGCAGTGGGCTCTGGGGGTGAGACAGCATGAGTTCAACTCCCACTGGTTCAGGTCCAGAAAGGAGTCACCCTTGGCCAGCAGAGGGGAGATGACAGAATCCCCCCTCATAGCTAGCAATAATACAGCGAGCATCCACTGTGTCAGGCACTGGTCCAAGTGCATCACCCATGCCCTCTGCTTTAGTCCTCACCATAACTCGAGGAGGTAGGAGCTATTCACATTCCCATTTTATGGATGAGGACACTGAGTCTCAGAGGTAGGACATGACCTGCCCAAAGTCACAGAGTGACTGGCCTTAAACCCAGGTCACCGATTTCCCAGCTAGTGGGCTCTCCTGTTTCCCCAGCTTGGCAGAGTCAGCAGTTGTCCTGCAGCTGGAGCAGGACCAGCTTTTCTCAACATCCCCTATATTAGTTTCCTATTGCTGTTGTCACCGATTAGCACAAACCAGGTGGCTTGAAACAACAAATTTACTGCCTCACATTTCTGGTGGGCAGTAGTCTCACATGGGCCTTACAGGCCGCATTCCTTTCTGGAGGATCTAAGGGAAAGTCGGTTTTTTGCCCTTTCCAGCTTCAAAGGCAGCTGACTAGCAACCTGAATTCCTCCTTGCTGTATAATCTAACATAGTCACAGGGCCCAGGGATTAGGATTAGACATCTCTGAGGGGAGGGCCTTGGTCTGACTCTCTTAGGAACATCCCCTGAGTGGTATCTACCTGCACTAACCACCCAGGCCTGGTGTGGAGAGCAGCTTCAACAGGGAAGTGGGTGCTGGCCGCTCTAGCCTCTGGGCTTCCCCGTATCTCCACTAGCCTGACCCTCTCTGCCCTCTTCACCCCAGCCAGGTCAAAACTGCCAGCTGAAACCACCCCTCCCACACACACCCAGTCATCAGGTCTGCTTTAGTGACCATTTGGTGGTCTGACACCCTCCATCCACCATGTGGGACCAGCTCATCCCCGCTGTCTGGGTGATTTGCCCATGTCCACTCCTGTCCATCATCCCATAGCCAGGAAATGCTGCGTTTAACACAGAGCTCGTTATAGCGCCACCTATCAGTCTCCTCCGTGAATGGCACCCCTGGAATCCTATGTTCTCTCCCCACCTCACCACAGTCCCCAAACTCAGCAAGTCCCGGAGCTCTTCATCCAAAGGCCATCCTGAATCCATGCAACTCTCCAGTCCCCTCCACTGGTCCAAGCTTTTGTTGTCTATTTCCATAATGACTAGAGAGGTTTCCAGCCTGGTTTCCCCAGCCCACGCACAGTGTACCCCTGAGGACTCCCCCTCCTACACAGAGTAAGCCTCAGCCCCTTGTCATGGCCAGCCTACTGACCTCCGCACACTCACCTTCTCCCACCTCCCTTCACTAACTCTGCCTGGCTCCTCGGCTTTCCCTGGTCTTGGACCATCCAAGCCCACCCCCAAGGGGGGAAGCAAGGTCTTCCCATTCCTTCCACCTGAGACACCCTCCACCAGGTCCTCAGACTTGGGCTCACTCCCAAGGTTGCCACCTCTGAGAAGCCCTCCCAGACTCCCTCAGCTGATGTTGCCCACTGCAGTTATTTTCTTGCTAGTTTTGCTGAAATGATCTGTGTACTTTATTTAGAGACTACCTCTCCCACTAGAACATCAACTCCATGACGACAGGAGCCGGGTCTGTCTTGTCCTGGGCAGTCTCTCTGGATCTGCCATACTCCCAGCACACAGTGTGTGTTGAATGAATGAATGACAGCTCCCTCAGGACACTTCATCACCATTCCCACTATTGCAGCCCCTGCCTCAAACAGCTTCCTCTTCCCAAGCATCCACAGACCCTCCGAGGCAAAAACATTGAAATCCATAATGCTCTAGGACTGGCAGACCTAACACTGTAAGGAAATTTTAAAAGACTAAACTTTTTGTGAAGGTATCACGCTTGGGGAAAAGCAACATTATTTCCCAGACACAGGACTTTGGGGCCTGTCTGATTTATGACCTTCACTTGAGGCTCTAGAATCTAGTATGCAGAGCTGTCCCCCCACCCACTTCAGACTGGGTATCGCCAAGACCAAAGGCCAAGGAGAGTGTGCCCATACGTCAGTTAACAAATCCCAGCATCTCGTCCTCCCCAGGAACCCTGGCTGAAGCATGCATTTTCCCTCTTCTCCGTCCTGACCAGTCTGCTGAGACAGGATAACTTTCCACACAGGATGCAGAGGTTTTAAGTCACCACTGACACAGGCATGAGGGCAAGCCACAAGGAGTCACTAATGGAGGGAGCTTTCAACTCTAGGGAAAGCAGGCAGGGCTGAAAGAGGAAATTCTACAGAAGAGGTGATGACAGCTACAGGGGGTTCACAAGAGCTCTCGGGGCTTATAGGATAAGAGGAATGTTCCTTTGTCTCCATCACCATTCTCGCCGAACGGAATATCATTTTCCCCCTTGTCTTTGGTGGCCAAGATGAAACAGCAGAGCTGAAAAGCTGTATCACTAATGTGCAGGGCCTAAAAGGGATTCTTCTTACTCCTCCAAGGGATTCTGGCAGGCTTTGCCTGAGGAGATGGGTTCCAATTTTAGGGGAACTTAAAAACATTCTCCACACTCCAAAATGAAATCATTTTTATTTCAAATACAGGTGTATCCTAGTTTTCCAAAACCCAATCTGTGAGACGGTAGCCTTCCCCACCGAGAAATGAGTGGAGTGATTGCTTTTGTAAAAGAATTCCTGTTAGAAAGGATTCTCTTTCAACCATGGAAACTCTTGCTTCTATTCGACACTGTTTCTCCTCCATACAGGGGTGTGTGTGTATGTTTTCCCTGAACAAATCTGTAGCAGACGGACCCTTATGTATTGGAAATGGCTTTCCATTTGGAATTGAGAGACTTCACTGATACCACTTGCTTCAGTGGGGTTTGGGCTGCAGGGAGGGATGCTGATTTTAAAAACCAAAGTAGTAGACTCTTACTACTTTTCCGTGGATCAGCTTAATTCTAGAGAGCTCTGTTATTATAATCTAGGGATCTCAAATTCAAATGCCTACAGGGACCAGGAAGAAGACACATGTATGTGAAGCAGAGCGGGTGCTGGGAAGACAACAGGGAAGGGTGGGGACTGTGGTAGATTACAGCATACAAGCCCTGCCTAAAGAAGGCAGTCATTTCTTGGCTGGAATTTGGGCCAAATGTTGCCAGGTAGTCTGATATTTCAAGACAAACCAGAAATATGAATTTTTACATGAACTTTCTCAATTTTCAAAATTTCCAAGCCAGGCAAAGTATTTGTGAACCAAATCAAGCCCATGAGCTATATGAATAAATAAGCAGTCTCACTCTGGTAGCACAAACCCTTAGTTTTGAGGGTTGGGAGGGAAGGAGCCTATGTACGCTGGTATTTTGACCTCAGAGTGCCTTCGTGATGGTGGCCTCACCAACAGGAAATGGACCCATCCCACAAGCACTTCTCTGAGCTCTTATGGATGCTGAACACAGGGATGAGTGAAGCACAGAGCAAGCAATCTAATAAAGGAGCCAGGCTTGCACACAGATAATTCTAAAATGGTTGGTAAGTGCACTGAAGATTAATGCACCAGGTATAGGGGTGGGAGAACTCATTTTAGCTGGAAGAGCCAAGGAAGGCTTCCTGGAGGAGCAAGCATGCTTGGCCAGCTCACCTCTGTATCCTCAAGATGAGGTTTGCTGATATGTGAGCAAACATGACCCTATTGTGATATTTGTACGTTTCTTTGGACATTGCCTCTTATTTAGGGCAAATGATATAGATTTTTCCTTATGGAAGCAATACAGGGTATCCTTTTAAGATAATGTGAATAGTAATAATAGCAATTGTTGAGTACCTACTATGTACCAGGCACTGTATTAAGTGCTCTCATGTACATAATTCTTTGAGTCCTTTTGATACTACTATAAAGTAGGCCATATCATTATACCCATTTTACAGATGAGGAAATTGAAACACATCAAGATTGAGTAACTTGCCCAGACCATGAGGCTTCAAAGTCTATGCTTATTACCACAACACCAGGGCTTCTCTACTTCAGCACTATGGACATTGGAAGCCAGATAATTCTCTGTTGTGGGATCTGGACTGTGTGTTACGGCTGTTTAGCAGCATCCTTGACCCCTATCGAGTAGATAACCAGTAGCATCCCACAGTCATGACAATCAAAAGATGCCTCCAGACATTGCCACATGTCCACAAGGGGACAAAATTGGCCCTGATTGAGAACCACTGATCTATACTAAACTACCTTTGCAAGCTAAATAAATACCAAAAAAATGGGGCTAATCTAAAAGTGCTGAGTAAATAATAGTGCACATGTCACATGACAATCCACTAGGGTGTCAGCTGTGTGGGGCTAGGGACCATATCTGAATCTACATGTCTATGAACCCCCAGTGCTTAAAACAGTGCCTAGCACACAGTAGCCGTCAGTAAGTTTTTATAACATAAATAAGATGGATATGCATTGCAAGTTGAGGAAATTCTGAATGATAGTGTTGCTATTTTCACTCTTAAGTGAGTGTCTTAGCTTGGAATGCTATACCTAAAATATCTAGACTGGGAGACTTAAGCAGCAGACCTGTATTGCTTGCAGTTCTGGAGTTTGGAGGTCAGAGAGATCAAGGGCCCAGCATGGTGGGCCTCTGGTGAGGACTTTCTTCCTGGCTTATAGAAGGCTGCCTCCTGTGTCCTCCCATGGTGGAGAGGGAGGGAGGGGGTTCTCGTGTCTCTTCCCCCTCCTCTAAGGGCACTAATCCCATCCTAGGGGCTCCACCCTCCTGACCTCCTCTAGACCAACATCTCCCAAAGGCTCCCCCCACATACTGTCCACTGGAGGGGACACTAGGGCAACCCCCTGTGAATCTGCAGGGACATGGTTCAGTCCATAACGCACATCTGCAGGACCAGCATTGTCAGGCGAGACCCAGGAGTCACTGAGGCTCTTTCCTCCCTCCGCCCTCCAGGCCCGAGAGGGATGTGAAGGCCCAAAATGACCCTCTTACCGGGAGACAATTCTGATTACGACTACAGCGCCCTGAGCTGCGCCTCCGACGCCTCCTTCCACCCCGCCTTCTTCCCCCAGAGTCAGTCCCTCAAGGGCGTCTTCTATCGCCGGGCCCAGCGGCTGCGGCCGCAGGACGAGCCCTTCCAGGGCGGCCAGCCCGAGGACCGCCGCCGGCGGATCATCATCAACGTGGGCGGCATCAAGTACTCGCTGCCCTGGACCACGCTCGAGGAGTTCCCGCTGACGCGGCTGGGCCAGCTCAAGGCCTGCACCAACTTCGACGACATCCTCAACGTGTGTGATGACTACGACGTCACGTGCAACGAGTTCTTCTTCGACCGCAACCCGGGCGCCTTCGGCACCATCCTGACCTTCCTGCGCGCGGGCAAGCTGCGCCTGCTGCGGGAGATGTGCGCACTGTCCTTCCAGGAGGAGCTGCTCTACTGGGGCATCGCCGAGGACCGCCTGGACGGCTGCTGCAAGCGCCGCTACCTGCAGAAGATCGAGGAGTTCGCCGAGATGGTGGAGCGCGAGGACGTGGACGACGTGCCGGACAGCGAGGGCCCCGACAGCGAGGGCGCGGCCGAGGGCGATGGCCGCCTGGGCCGCTGCATGCGGAGACTGCGCGACATGGTGGAGAGGCCGCACTCGGGCCTGCCCGGCAAGGTGTTCGCCTGCCTCTCAGTGCTCTTTGTCACGGTCACCGCCGTCAACCTCTCCATCAGCACCTTGCCCAGCCTGAGGGAGGAGGAGGAGCAGGTAAGAGCCCACAGCCTCGCGCGGGGTGGGAAGGTCCGGGGACAGGAGAGAAGCAGCTTGCAAAAGCACTCTGCTCCCAGAAGTCCGCGTCTTCTTACCAGCGCTGTCACCTCCTCCAGGAGGCCTTTCCTGACTACGCTGGCTACATAGCACCCCCAGGCTCTCTTGCCACGGTGTTTGTACCTGTATTGACCACCTCCATGTCCAAGCGCAAGTTCCCTGCCTGTCCCGGTGTGCGCTATGCCCCCAGCGTCTAGAACAGAGTCTAGTGTGGCTGAAGCACTCAACCACTCTCTTGAAAAATGAAGGAATGAACAAATGGATAATATGATTTATGACGTGCCTGACCCCAAGCTAAGCACATGACATATATCATCAAAATTTATTTCACCTACTCCAGCCCTTTCCAGACGTTCCCAATTCCCATGTATAAAAATATCCCAGACACATTTTCTGGGTTCTGAACATAGTTTTTACTCATGGGATGTGTGCACTTTCCTCAAATAACGAGCCCTTTTTTGTGTTCAATAAGAGAATATGTCCAAAGTGTTTGCTCCAGGGCCTGACTAGGGTATATGCTCAACTCTCAAGGCTACCACTTAGCAGACAGTCATGGGGGCCAGGGCCTGGGCTGCAGCTCTGCTCTGTGTTCTCAGTGAATCTTCCAGCAACTCTGTAGAGGAGCTGTTCTCATACCCACTAGATAGATGAGAGCGCTAAGGCAGAGCAGCTTACCCAGATCTAGATCCAAATTCTGTGTTCTTAAAGGTGGATGGATGGGTCCCATATGACAGTGTGGGACTTCCTACAGCCCCAGGTAAGTGTGTGATTAGCCCACAAATTTGGGGCTCCCCCAAATTTTGACTTGGTTGCCGAGATTTAAAAGTAAGGTGCTTTTCATTTAAAAATTCAAACTCCCAAGTTCTCTTAAAAAGTCGGGCCCCCTGGCCTGTAGTACGACATAGCAGCTCTTGGTAGGCGCTGAATCCACAGGATATTGCTCTTCAGTACAGCCTCCTAATTGAGTCAGGACCCCTTCCCCATACTTGGGGGTTCTGGAAGCAAGTTTCAAGACAGATCAAAAGATTTAGACAGCTGCAAACAGTATAGACATTGGAGAAATGAGTATGTGGCATGAAGTCAATGTAAATATCACACCAACCAGCATTTATTGAGAACCTGTGTGGGCTAAGCGCTTTACGTGTACTCTCTGAACATTAGAACTACTCACCACATGAGGGTTTTTCCACATACATATATTATGGAGGAAGTAGCAATAGCTATTACATTTGTAACTCACAGGGTATTTCTATTTCTGGCACTTTTCTTATACCTTAAATCTTTAAAACAAGTGTTAAGAAAACAGCACTCAACCAGTAAAATGAACTTTTGATGGACATAAGGAGTAGTGATAAAGAGAGCAGGGCCAGAGCCAGATGGCCTGAATTTCAATTCCCTTGCATCCACTCTGGCTGTGTATCAATAGACAAGTTACTTAACCTCTCTGTGCCTCAGTTTCCTCACATGTCCAAGGGGGCTGTGTCATTAGGACTCAGTGAGTGAACCAGAAGTGATGGGAACAACGCCTGGCGCATGAGTGTGCAGGAAGTGTTGACTGTAGGAATTATACAGATCCACCGAAAAAGAAAATGCTCATCATTTGAGACCTGTCTGGAAGTACCTGTGTTTAGTATAGATTTCTTCTTACTTCCAACATATGCACTCCTGATTTTATCAGGAAAATACAAATCAAGTTACTGCTTTATTCAACATCTGATACTTTCTTTTCTAAAAAACAAATAATACCTGGCCTTTTTCATGATTCACCGAAAATGCCATTCTTTGATTTCATTTTGGGGGCTAGTGGGATTCACTGTTTCACTTGCTCCTTGAGTACGCATATATGAGTGCCTACTGTATTCAGGCCCACAGGGCAGGCAGGGTGACCAAAACAAGTATTCCAGCTTTAAGGAACTTCAAGTCTAGTGGTGGGGGGACAATGACACCCCTTACGACCATAGGTGTGAGATCCAAACTGATGGGGCTCTTGTGAGGAGCCCACCAACCGTGCTGGGGGTACTTGGAGGGGGTGCCCTCTAGGAAGGCTTCCCAGAGGAGGGGGCTTCCTGTCCCAGAGGTCTGAGACGTTAAAGCCCCACCACGTATTAGTTCATCAGTCCAGCCTGCAGCATATTCCTAGTGAGAGCTCTTAGAGCAGGACTCAGAAACCCAGCTGTGCCCAGGAGCCAAGCAAGGTGGCCCAGGTGCCTCACTGCTCAGCCAAAGGCCGCTTTGAGGTTGAAGTGCAAAGCCACCACGGATGGTCTGCCATTCAGTTAAATGGCAAACCAGAGAGAGAAGCTGGCAGCCCACATGACAAATGTGTTTGGCCTATAGAATGTTTTCTTTGTATTGAATTATCACAACATTTAAAACCCGGGTTTCATGAACAACTACAGATTTCCAGCTTCTCTAAAAATGTCAGTGAGGCTGCCTCAAGCCAGGATTCACCCAGGACAGCAATCGGGACACTGAGCAGGACAGCCACCCTCTCTAGCAGGCCTCCACCCACCTGGCCCACCTCCCACATTTCTCCTTCCACTCACCTAACCTTGAGTTGGCAGCCTGTCTAAGCACCAGTCCAGTGCTCTTCCATCCATCCCAGTAACAAATATGAATGGATCACCTGCCACACGCACTGGGGTCCTGAGAGTGAACAATATACAAACTCCCAACAGGGCCGTGATCTCCTGGGGCAGAGGGCAGGTGAAGTGAGGGTGGGAACAGACAATAAACATGGTAAATAGGTAGTCTATAGAGCATATTGAAAGATGATGAACAACAAAGCAGGATAAGGGGAATTGAGGAGCAGGACAAAGGGAGGGAGGTATTTTAAACAGGGGTGTCACAAAAGGCCTCCCTGAGAAGGTGATACTGAAGCAAAGAGCTGGAGGAAGGGAGGGCAGAGCAAAGTGGGTGTCTGGGGAAGAAGAATCCTGCAGAGGGTAGGGGCTGAGTGGGGCAAAGTCAAGGCCTGGCTGCAGGTGTTGACCTGAGTATCGGGTGTTGGAGGGGCAGGAAGGAGGCCCATGAGGCTGGGGCAGGTGAGCAAGGTGGGCAGGGGGCTAGGAAGTGGGGGAGAGCTCAGCCACGTGTGCCCCAGGAGGACCTGAGCTATCCCTCTGAGCCACAGAGGGTGCAGAGCAGAGGAAGGGCAGGATCTGATTCACATTCTCAGGACCCCTCTAGTTTTGTGTGCAAAACGGGTTTAGGGAAAGGAGCCCAGGGAGGAGGTGTCTGTAGCTGTCTAAGCCAGAAAGGCTGGTGGCTGGACCAGGGCAGGGGCAGTGCACATATGGTAAGTGGTTTGACCCTGGAATCATTTTAAATGAAGACCCAAAGGACTTCCTGAGTATTATATGGGAGTGTTGGGATGAGGCCAAATGTTCCATCCTGAGTGACTAGAAAAGTGGGATTGCCAGTCGCTAAGAAGGGAAACCAAAGGCAGGTGGGTGTGAGGAAGAAATGAAGAGCCCAAAGAGACAAGCTCTTCATTGTCCCCAGGAGGAAAAAATAAACAATAATTATGTGACATGATAGAGGTATTAGCAAATGCTATGGTGGCAATCATATTGCAATGTGTAGATGTATAAATCAACACCTTATACAGTTTAAACTTATATAGTGTTATATGTCAATTACGTGTTAATAAAAATAATTTTATGAAAAAGAAACCAGGGGCCTGGTTGGGGTCATGAGGAGTTTGAGACGCCTATCAGACACACAGGGTGATGTCAAAGAGGCAGCCCTTCTGAGATGAGTTCAGGGGCAAAGTCTGGGCTGGAGAGAGAGAGAAGGGGTCAGCATACAGTCGGTTCTTCAATCCCTAGGCCTGGAGGGCGTCACCCGAGAATGAGCACAGCTAGAGAGACCCCAGGGCCACATGGCCTGACAGATGGGCCGTGCCCAGGCCACCTTTCACCAGGTAGGGGAGTGCCCCTCCAGGCAGGGCTCCTTGCTGGCAATGCCACTGACCTCTCCCGCGGCCTCCCCCCTCTCCCAGGGTCAGTGCTCCCAGATGTGCCACAACATCTTCCTTGTGGAATCAGTGTGCGTGGGCTGGTTCTCCCTCGAGTTCCTCCTGCGGTTCATCCAGGCGCCCAGCAAGTTCACCTTCCTGCGGAGCCCGCTGACGCTCATCGACATGGTGGCCATCCTGCCCTACTACATCACCCTGCTGGTGGACGGCGCCGCCGCAGGCCGACGCAAACCCGGCGCGAGCAACAACTACCTGGACAAGGTGGGGCTGGTGCTGCGGGTCCTGCGGGCTCTGCGCATCCTGTACGTCATGCGCCTGGCCCGCCACTCCCTGGGGCTGCAGACGCTGGGGCTCACCGCCCGCCGCTGCACGCGCGAGTTCGGCCTTCTGCTGCTCTTCCTGTGCGTGGCCATCGCCCTCTTTGCTCCCCTCCTCTACGTCATTGAGAACGAGATGGCCGATAGCCCCGAGTTCACCAGCATCCCCGCCTGCTATTGGTGGGCCGTCATCACCATGACGACTGTGGGCTACGGGGACATGGTGCCCAGGAGCACGCCGGGCCAGGTGGTGGCGCTCAGCAGCATCCTCAGCGGCATCCTCCTCATGGCCTTCCCGGTGACCTCCATCTTCCACACCTTCTCCCGCTCCTACCTGGAGCTTAAGCAGGAGCAGGAGAGGGTGACCTTTCGAAGGGCCCAGTTCCTCATCAAAACCAAGTCGCAGCTGAGCAGCATGTCCCACGACAGTGACATCTTATTTGGGAGTGCCTCCTCAGACACCAGAGACAACAACTGAGCCCAGGGGACACATCCCGCCGCCGCCACCACCAAGACATCCCCAGCCCTGCCTGCCTTCGTGGCCTGAAGCTACTGCCATCCCTACACAAGCCCTCAAAGGCACATGCTGCTTATAAGTGCGGCCCTGGCGTGGGACGGATACGGGCCACACCCTGGGGAGGACATCCGCACATCCGCAGGAGGGTCCCTGGCCCTCTCCGTCAGGAGGTGAAGTGGAAGCTGGTCAGGAGCCCGGCACACAGCCGGGAGGGTCCCCCCACGCCCCAGCCCCCATGCCTGTTTCCCTCCATGCAGAGATGGCTTGTCCTTTCCACCATGTACATCACATGCCCAGCAAAGACTTGCTTTGTGGGTCTTCCTGGAGAAAAAAATACAAACCAGCAGCAACATGTCTGTCTTTAGTGTGGTTCACATGTAATTAAAGAAAACTGATGAAAAAGAAGGAAAATGCCTTCTGCGGGCCCTGTTAAGAAACACAACTAACTGTGTTTTCCAGCAGAGCAGGCCAGGGTGGGGCCTGGAAGTAAAAGGGCCTGATTGTTGGGTTGTTCAGGCCTGGTAGGGGGCGGTTCAGTGCAGGGGGGAAAAGGGCGACAACAGATATGTCAGGGGCATTGCCAGAGAACGCTGCATTCCCTCTCCTGTTTCTCTTTGATTCCTCCCACCGCAGGCCTCTCTTGGTCCCTTTTTCATTCTCTCCCTTCCTCTAATCTCCTCTTTTGCACCTTGAAGCTCTCAAACTTTCCCCCCCACCAAGGAACCCCTAACAGTTAAATGGACACCAAGGGCCTATCACCTCTGCTAACTACAAAGGTTAAATCACTTCATTTTATCTTTAAAACTTAGTGTGGATTTTTTCTCTACTCCACGTTTATTTTACTATTTGGAAAAAAAAAATGCTTTAAATCATTTAGCTGAATCTAAAGCTAAGCCTACAGAGGGGCTGGTGCTGTGGAAAAGTGGGCCATGGTTGCCCGGGCAACCTGAGAAGCACAGTCTGAAGCCCCCAAAGGCCTCCCTAGGCCTCCCAAAGATGGACAGAGCACCCACCTGACCAGGAGCTATACCAGATTCACATTGCATAGGTGACCCACAAAGGAAGGACCCCCCCGGCCTGTGCAGCAGGTTTGCTCAGCCCTCAGGGATCAGAGCCCCTCAGTGCCAGCATGGGGAGGGGCCTTCACCCCAAGGTTGCATCACAAGCACGCCCTCACCCTCACCGTCCGGAGCCCCTCCTGCTTTGGCCACACTCACCCACTCTGATAAACAGAAGGCACACCCTAAACCAAATCCGTGCTCACTATTTCCTGCCTCAGCCCACCAGGGGCTGTCAGTACATGGAGAATGAAACCCACACGCCCTGCATGGCCTGGGCCCTGCCCTCCTGTGCAGCTGCATCTCGCCCCTATTCTGCTCACTCCGTCCAGCCACACTGGCCTCTGTACTGCCCTGCTGACAAGCCCATTCCCGCCCTTACATCTGCAGGTCCCTCTGCCAGGAATGCCCTTCCCACAGAGCATGCTGTGGCTGCTCCTTCCCATCACCTCCTTGACCGCCTCTCCAGGGAATCCAGCCGACAGGTCCCCCACTGCTCACTCTCCGGCCCTGCTTGATCTTCAGCCATGTGCTGACCTCTGACATTGCCTCACTTATTTCTTGCTGCTCTGTTGTGGGCTATCTCCTGCATAGGGAGGTTAGTGCCATGCTGGCCCTGTGAGGCCCTACTCAGTAATCCTGGCTCACCCCTGCCTCCCAGTACCTAGTAGGTGCTCAGTAAGCATTTGTGGAATGAATGAATGAGGGGAAACAGGAGAAAGGGCCAGAAAGTAGAAAGGCGTTTGCTTTTCACCTTGGGTGCTGAGGCCCCTGAGCATCTCTCCCTCCCTCTCTGGTGGGGAGGCATGGCTATCTCAGCATGGTTTGCATGCAGGGATGCAGAGCGGAAATATCATTTGGAGTCCCAACGGCCTTGTTAAAGGTTCCCCTGACACCTGCTTCCAGTGACTCACACCTGAAAAGTAAGTTTTCTAACTAATCAGCTCTACGTTCATCTGCCCGGTGGATGTCACAGTGATCAGGTACTGCCGTCGTGGTAATCACACCTTCGATTGATGGAGTGACCTTTTTCCCCTCCAAAGTGGCTGCAAGAGACAGCAGACAACTGAAAATGCTGAACACACTGAGGCATGACACCGAAAGAGGTATCAACAGAGTGCTTTAAAACCCAAGGGAGTGGAAGGCCAGTAGCATTTGGTGTGGAGGAGGGAGCCCCAAATGGGGCAGCACTGGGAGGGAAGCTGTGTTCCCACAGAGGACACAGGCTGAGCTTGTGCAGAGGAGGAGTTGGGGTCACTGAAGGGTCAAGATTTCTGGCATCTTCCTGCACAGACTCTGACCAGTGCTGTTGGCCCAGGCAGAGGCCCTAACAGACTCAGGTACCTCTGAGACCTCCCCTGAAAGCCAAAGAGGCTGTAGATACTGACCTGCACACCCAGAGGGGGCCTTATGGGCCCTTGGCCCTAACCAAGAGCTAGGGAGCCTCAGAACACCGAATTAGCTGCTTCTAGGTCTGTGATCAACTTTATGGTTATGTCTTTTCCTCTTTTTTTTTTTTAGCAATGTGAAGCTGATGCAGACAGCCCAGCTATAAATCAGACTGAGTAAGAGCTGTTCTGATGGACATGCGGTGGCTCAGTTCCTGCCCTTTCCCGAATGGGGCCTCCCTCTTGACCCCAGTATAGTCAGTTAGCTCCTTACAACCCAGATGCATGTGAAAATCACTGCTCTGGGGGAAATAGCAAAACTGACCTTGCAAAATTTGTTTTATTTTTCTAAGTTACATGGTTATCTCGCATTGCTGATCTAACTCAGCATTTCTGTAAGTGGGGGGTTTGGGAAGGCTGATTTAACACTACAGGTTCTAAGGTCCCATCTCTGAACAGGGTCAGGACTTCTTGCCTTGAGCATAGAACGTAAGGGGGAACCAAAAATAACTCAATTATCAACGTAATTCATATTTTAATGCATTGCCTTTTAAAATTGAAATGAATGCCCAAAACCCACAATGAACAAAGTATCAAAATTTTCAATAAAGTCACGATCTGCCTTTGCACTTGTGTGATTCGGCGCCGCTTGCCTCTCCCTAGTTCTGGGCCCGTCCTGTCCCCCCTGCCAGACAGCTCCAGTCAGCCAAGGGCAGGTCTCCCAACAAGGGCAGGTGGGAGCCTTTCACACCTGGCACCCCATCCCACCGAAGGGGCTCAGGGAAGCCACCACCTCCCCCCCCTTACAGCCGTGAGTGTTGTTCCAGAACGAGACCCTGCCTTCACAGGACCCACGGTGACAGGGTCACCTGGCAGAAAGTAACTGGGGTCAGGGGAGGTGGAGAGCAACCACTCGAGAGAGTCAGGGAAGGACTGAAGAGGTGGCATTTCAGTGGGGACCTCGGGGGGTGGGCAGCCGTCCAAGCAGAGGAGACAGCCAGTGCAAAGACCCGAAGTAGGAAACACGTGGACATTCTACCAGCTGCCAAAGGAGCATATGACACAGAAACAGGTCCCTGCTGGGAACAGCCTTCCTCCCGGGGAGAAAGCTCAGATCTGCAAAACAGACGGTCTTTGAACAAACATTTCCAGAGACCTTATTCAGAAAGAGGCACCATCACAGCAGCAGGGACCAAACAAACAGAAACAAACAGAACAACAGAACTAGATTCAGTCGCTGCCCCAGAGGTGCTGTTAATCTGATGGAGTAAATGACATGGTGAGTAAAATATTTCCAAACATGTGGGGTGATGGGGTGCAGGCACAGGAGGCTGTAGGAGTGTGCAGAGACGTGCCAGCAAAGAGAATACAATGTTCACTCAGCATTCCATTTGCCAAAATGGCCCCACTTATGTTTTCCTCCAGAAAACCAGTAACTAGTCTTCCTCCCAACATAGGCTGTGCTACGTCTCCCTCTCTTCCTCAAACCCATCCCATCCAGTCCTGTTAGCTTTTATGGGGAATCGGACCACTTGCAGCTCCAGTGGTCCAGCCCCGTCCTCTCCCTCCTAGCCTGTAGCTGGAGCCTCCTGCCTGGCTTCCCTGCTCTCCCCACTGCCTGCCCCACCTGTCCTCTGCACAGCAACGAGGGACCCTGTTAGAACCCAAGTCAGATGATGCTCATCTTCAGCTCAAGGCAGCACCATCCCTAACCTGGTGACATTCCACCCCATTCAGGGTCAAAGCCAGGGTCTTTCTCTCGGCCCCACGTCCTTGGCCTGGTCTTGCATCCCCTCACCTCTCCTGTCAGTCACACCAAGTTATTTTCTATTTATTGAACAGACCAAATACACTCCCACCTCAGGGCCTTTGCACCTGCTCTTTCCTCCTTAGCCTGAAAGGCTCTTCCCTTAGATACATCCACTTTCTCTCCCTCTTTATTTGGGTCTCTGCTCAAATGTCACTTAAAACAGAGGCTTTATCTGACCTCCTCCCTGCCTCCCTATATAAAGATCATGCTCCCAGGGTACTGACCATGGCTTTTATTTTCTGTCTTGTGATGTTTTGATATCTGGGGCCTTGCAGACTCTGAAAAAGGACTACCACTCCCAGAGATAGCCAATTCCTAGAGATGGGAAACAACTTGCCCACAAGTGTTCTTTTCAAATACAAACCAACCCACCCAGAATCCATACGCCAACCCCCTCCTTTTTCAGGCTCTCAGACACCAGACACTGTCCACCGGCCCTAAGCACCCCAGAGCCAGTCAGTACCAGATAAGCAGGGAGAGCCCCATGCCCCAGAGCCCATTGAGCTTTTTAAAACTAGTCAATCCTAAGCCTGCTTACCCTGCCTCACCATTCCTTTCCTCCAAAACCACAATAAAGGCTCTTGCTCACAGCTCCCCCCACCCCTGCCTCTGACCCACCCTGGTGCTTCCCCGCGTGGCCCCCCACGATGTGGCGTGCCCCCTCCTCTTGTGAACTGTAAGCATAACAAACTGGCTTCTCAGTAGCAGTTGTCTCCTCATCTGTTGGCCTCGCCATACCTGAATAATAATAAAATCTAAATTTTAAAACACCCAGACCCCTTTTTCTGCTTCATCCTTCTCTAGAATCCTTGTTATCACCCAGTACATTATACATATATGCTTGTGGTCTCTCTCCCCACTGGGCGGTCAGCTCCACGTGGGCAGGGACCTTTACAGCTGTATCCCCAGTCTAGGGCAGCCCCTGGCACATAGTAGGTGCTCAACAAATATTTGCTGACTAAATGAATCTGTGAATCCCTTATTTCTATGGCCTACAAAATGCATGCACTTATCGACCATATTTATTCATATATATGGTGGCATGAATCTCATGAAGATCTATTCCTGTAAAATGACACCACAGTTATAGCAGGCAAATACCTCATTTCTGCTTAGAAACAACCTCTACTATGTGAGCTTCATCCTCCATCAACATCTTTGTATTCTGCATTAAATGTATGAAAAGATACTGTGGGACTTGTTTGCAACTGTAAAGCAGAGCCTGAAAGATTTTTACGTTTTTCTTTCCTGAAAAGAACGTGCTGCTTACCCAATGACCTGTAAAAGTCCAAACAAATAAATTTGCTGAAATAAACTGAAAGCCCCCAGCTGGCCTTGGTTTCAGAAACAGGGGGTAAAAAAGAACCTGATAGGATTATATCCTAAGTCTGGGTTACTTGGTACTGTAGGAATTCTACCATGTTTATGATTATATATACATGGGGCCCAAAAAATAAATTCTCAGAATCATTCTCTAAATGCCATGTCCATTTAATAGGTGGCCAGAATCACTGCCAAATGGACAGACGCTGTTTCTCCATAAAGCCAATTAAACGGGAAATGCCTCCTCACATTAGAAACTCAGAGGTCTTTTGCAATTGGCACAGAAATAACTCAGCAGTGAGAGTCAGCCCAGGCACCTGGAGACGATGGAGGGAAGGAGGGAAGGAGGGACGTCTGAGGAAAAGGAGCAATACCTTTATTGCGTTGCCCTCAGCAATCACATCCCGTCCTGGGCTGCTGGGCTTTGCCTCACTTTCGGAGGAGAGTAAGGTGGGAAGCCCAGCTGAAATCACAACCCCACATACTACAGTAAACGGTCCGCTAACAGAGACTTGGAACGGCCCACCAGCCTCTTGAAGAGCCTGCATTTGCCCAGAATTTCAGGGCAGGGTCTGGGAGTTAGCAGGTGGCCTCATCTCTTTAAGGAGGTCTAATATATTTGCCTACAGAGACCAGGGAAAGCTCTAGAAGGAAGCAAGTGCCGATGACGTGTGTGTGTGCAGTGTCATGATCGGTGCTCAGACTTCACCCTCCCCCAGTGCTGGGGGGTCAGATGCTACAGGTGGCCTATGCGAAAGCTCTTCCCCCAACTTGCCTGCCAAGAGGTCCCCCACTTGCCCAGACCCAGGGTTTACACCAACCATGGTAATCCCACCACTGTTTGCCAGTGAGTCATGGTGGGGAGCGTGGGGGGTGATGCGATCCAGTCCTGGCTAATGAAACCCCAGAGGAAGTCCACCTGGTTGCTCGGGACATTTTCCCTCTGATAAGAGAAAGCCCTTTTCTCCCCTTTTCTTCATTTTTCCCTGGATGCTGCTGAGTGAACACATGGGCAGAATATTCTGTGGGGGCCCAGCCCCCAGAGTCCTTGTGTTGTCAAAACTCATAGCAGCCTCCTCTCCCAGGAATCACCGTATGCGGAGCATACCCCTCTGCCCCCAAGGCAGGCCACAGCCAGTGACCAGCTGACACAGCAGCGCAAGTTCTCAGCCCCTGGCCTCAAGGGGGCATTTGTGTGATGCTGCTCATGCCTCACTGCTGCCCATGGGACTCCGGCCAAAACCATTCTGTGCTGAGCTTTGTCCCAATCGTGCTCTCCTCCCTAGAAGTTTCTCCTAGAGCATGCCTCAATAAATCACATGCAACCCGATCCCCATCTCAGACCTTTGCTTCTAGGGAGCCCGACCTAAGACAATGGGTACCAGGGTTGGTGGCCATGCTCGTGACCAGGGGATGGCAAGTCGGAGGAAGGAAACCTAACCTGTGAAGGAGGGTGGATCTGAACAATGCAAAGTCTGCACGGGTCCATGCAGGGATCATTAAGCAGCTGAACCCACCCAGGAACACCCACCTCTAAGCAACAAATGTCTTTATGATTTAAGTCACTGCTACTTACAGTGCCCAACCATCCTGGCCTGAGGGGGCTCCTGGGATGCTGCATTTAGCATTTAGCATTGAATGTTAAGCCCAGAAAAGCTCCAGGAACACCAAGATAAGTTGGTCACCCTACTGCAAGGCAGGCATTCTCTGCTTGCAGGCCAAAGCATACCCAGCTGATGTGATTATTATCCCCATCATGCAGTTCGAGAAACTGAAACTGAGGCAAAATGCTGTGCATGTGACCACACAGCCAGTTAGAGGCAGAGCTGGAATTAGCAATTGAGAACTTTTGAGCTCTAGTCCAGAGCTCCTTCTAAACTCCCCCCAGTTCTGCACAACTTCAGTGTGGGCACATGTAGCTCATCCCCCCAGTGGTTGACAATGGCCACTGGCACAGAAATTCTAGTGATCCATCCAATATCCATGTTCCCCTTCCTCCTTATGGAGCCCCAGTTTTATCCAGGCATGCTGCCACTGAGAATAAAAACCACTTCCCAGCCTCCCTTGCAGCTAAATGTGGCCAAATGAAAAAATTCTTACTAGTAAGATTTAAGTAAGTCTTGTAAGGGACTGAAAAGTCTCCTTAAAGGGAAGGGGACAGATAGTCCTTCTGTTGTTCCTGTTGCTGGAACACACATGTGATTGCTGGATCTCTAACAGCCTGCTCAGACCATGAGGTGACCATAAAGATACAAGTGCTAAGGTTGGGGTAGAACAGGAAAATGGGAATCTGGGCCCCTGGGGACACATTAGAGCTGCCACAGTCCCAGACTCCATCCTCCAAATGGGTGTTAGGATTTTTTAGGCCCTATCAACAAAGATCCTCTCTCTTCCTCACTGGTTATAAATCTGATTGGTATAGGCATGGAAGACTGAGAATGGTTTCAACACAGAGGAAACAAGGAATGATGAGACTGAAACTAGGGTCTAATGTCAAGGATGTGTCCCTGGAACCAGCAGTGCCTGAAGCCATCCTTTCAACAAACATCTCATTCATCCTCTATGAAAAAGAAACAATAATACCCACCATACTGGGGTGACATTAAATGAAATAAAGGATATAAAGCACCAAGAACAGGATCTGGCTCCATAGTAAGTGCTCAATATATAGTAGGTATTGCTATTATTGTTCATTATTCCCCCAAAACTCAACTACCAACAATGAAAAGAGTTTGATAAATTAATAGCATATACAAGATAACAGGGATATGATTAGGCCTGATTTTTTTATCACATTACAAGAGACGTTCACACATTTCCCATTTGCCTGCATGGTGGTGGCTGCTAATTACAAATGCATGTTCATACTTTGTTCCAACAGACTTGGCACAGCCACGATTTAGAGATCTTTTCATTAGCAGTTAGATAATGAACATGGGGGAACCGTGCTGCTGTGTAATTTCAGGGATCTGGATGTCATCCTCCGCCCCCCACCGCATGGCCCATTGCACTCGCTTGGCTGCAGATGCTTGGGTCTCAACCCCTGAGAAGACAGACAACTGACTTCCACTCTGC